CTCCGAGCCGCGGGTCGACACTGGGCCACCGTCAGCGGGACGCGCACGGCTCACCGACGCGCTCCGGCTCGAGCGCACAAAGCCCGGGATGCGGCGCACCGTACGCTTGAGCTGCAGAGTGCCATCTTTGAGCAGGCGACGATGGGGCTGCACCAGCGGGCCCTCGATCGGTCCGCGGATGCGATACTGCCACGCCAGCAGGCGTCGATCCTGCTCCGACTGGCGCTTGCTCTCGTTGACCTTGGACGCGATCTGCGTAACGTGCTCCAGCGCCGTAGCGAGCGCATCGCCGTCCGCCAGTCGCGCCGTGTCGGTGCTCTTGACCAGGTCCTCGAGCAGCAAGCGGTATCGTGGAATGCGCTGCACAGGCAGCAGCAGGTAGCTCTCCACGTTGATCTGCGTGTGCCGCGGGTGCGTGCGGCATCGCTTCATGAACGTCCTGATCTTCTTGCGCTGCGAGGGGGTGAGCGCTGAGTCGCTGCCCAGGATGCTCGATCCTGCGCTTGCGCCGCTTGCTTGCCCGCTGCCGGTGCCGTTGGCAAACATGGCTGTTGCTGCACCCTGCTGTGCCGAAAGCGCGCCAAACGCCTGCAGTGCGCTGTATCCGGGCGCCCCGCGCAGCGACAGACCACCGCCGTTGCCAGCCGACGACGGCGCCATCCATGCGCTGATGCGCGCCTGTGCCGAGTCGCAGTTGTTGATGTAGCTCGTGTACATCTTGAAGAACGCTGCGTGCGTCGAGAACACCGCAGCCACCTTCTCGGCGATCGCGGCCGTCTCGTCCGGCGACAGATCGCCTGCTGCTTCCTGATCGTGTGCGAGAATCGGGTTCGTCACCGCCAAGAGAGACGGAAGGAAGACGGTGCGGTGGAACTGCAAGAGCGCCTCGACATTGCCAAACACGGCGCGGTGCTCCATCGGAGGAATGACAGGCACGCCGCTGTTGCCGTCGGCGGGCGCCATGGCAGGCCGCACATATACGTCGACAAGCTCGCTCAGCCCTCTGACGTACGTCCGCTCGGTCGACACGATCTCGGCGATGATGCGGAACCGCCTAACCGAGTCGTCCTTGCTGCATCGAGCCGTGCTCAACCGCGTCGGCTCGCTCGATGCACCTTCCGAGATCGAGCTGGCAGCTGTGCTCGCCACATACTCGCCTCCCGAGTCGCGCGACTTGGTCGACGGGTTGCTCGACTCGGCGCGGTGCATACTGGCCGTGCGCGACAGAGGCTCTCCGTCTCGAAGGTGCGAGAGCGTCCTCTTGCTAGGTCCGACGAAAGACGCTGCCTCGGTACGCACTGCTGTCAGATCGTCGAGGTCGCGCAAGTAGTGCATCAGCGCACGCAGTCGGTTTCGATGCTTCGAAAGGCTTTCCTCGTCCATCTCTTCCTGAGCTGTGCCGGCCGCTGCAGCGACGGATGCTGGTGCCAGGTGTGGCGGAAGACCGCCGGCAGCTGATGCGAATGCATGCACCGGCAAGAAACTGCGACGTCTCGCCTTCTTAGCTTCAGCGTCGAGCGAAATGGGCTGCAGCAGAGC